CAGGTACAGAGGGCAGGACACTGGAGAGGGCCAGTAGTCACGAGAGCCAGGTCACTGGGAGAGGGCCAGTAGACACTGGAGAGAGCCAAGACTGGAGAGGGCCAGTAGACAGAGAGGGCAGATGAGAGAGGCAGAGACACTGAGAGGGCCAGTAGACACTGAGAGGGCCAGTAGTCACTGAGAGGGCCAGTAGTACACTGAGAGGCCAGTAGACACTGGAGGGCCAGTAGTCACTGGGAGAGGCCAGTAGAGACGCCGAGACCAGTAGTCACTGAGAGGGCCAGAGAGACACTGAGAGGCACAGTCACTGAGAGGGCCAGTAGAGCACTGAGAGGGGCCAGGACCATGGGAGAGGGCCACACTGAGAGTGGCCAGTAGTCAGCAGAGGAGAGAGAGCCAGTAGTCACGAGAGGGCCAGTAGACACTAGGAGAGAGCAATAGTCACTGAGAGGCCAGTAGTCACTGAGAGGCCACAGTAGTCACTGAGAGAGGCCAGTAGACACTGAGAGGGCCAGTAGTCACTGAGAGGGCCAGTAGACACTGGAGAGGGCCAGAGACACTGAGAGGGCCAGTAGTCACTGGAGAGCCAGTAGACACTGGAGAGCCAGTAGTCACTGAGAGGCCAGTAGTCACTGAGAGAGCCAGGAGACACTGAGAGGGCCAGTAGTCACTGAGAGGCCAGTAGGTCACTGAGAGGCCAGAGACACTGAGAGGCCAGTAGTCCCTGAGGAGAGCCAGTAGACACTGGGAGAGGGCCAGTAGTCACTGAGAGGCCAGTAGACACTGAGAGGCCAGTGGAGTCACTGAGAGGGCCAGTAGACACTGAGAGGCCAGTAGTTACAGGGAGGCCAGTAGACACTGGAGAGAGCCAGTAGTCACTGAGAGGGCCAGTAGAGACCGGAGAGAGCCAGTAGACACTGGAGAGGGGCCAGTAGTCACTGAGAGGCCCAGTAGACACTGAGAGGGCCAGTAGCTGAGAGGAGGGCCAGTAGACACTGAGAGGGCCAGAGTCACTGGAGAGGGCCAGTAGACACTGAGGCCAGTAGTCACTGAGGCCAGTGCAGACACTGAGAGGGCCAGTAGTGACTGAGGGGGCCAGTAGTCACTGGAGAGGCCAGTAGTCACGAGGAGGCCAGTCACAGAGGCCAGTATCACTGAGGAGGGCCAGTAGACACTGAGAGGCGAGGCCAGAGAGAGGAGGCCAGTAGTCACTGGAGAGAGCCAGTAGACACTGAGGGGCCAGTAGTCCTGAGAGAAGACACTGGGAGAGGGCCAGTACTGAGAGTGCCGGGCAGTGAGAGGGGCCAGTAGTCACTGAGAGGGCCAGTAGTCACTGAGAGGCCAGTAGACACTGGGGGGCCAGTAGTCACTGGAGAGAGGGCCAGTAGTCACTGAGAGGCCAGTAGTCGCTGGAGAGGGCCAGTAGACACAACACTGAGAGGGCCAGTGGTCATCTGGAGAGGCCAGTAGTCACTGGGAGGAGGCCAGTAGACACTGAGAAGGGGGGCAGGACCGGGAGGCCAGTAGTCACTGAGAGGGCCAAGTAGTCACTGAGAGGGCCAGTGAGACACTGAGGAGGCCAGTAGTCACTGAGAGGGCCAGGAGACACTGGAGAGGCCAGTAGTCACTGGAGAGGCCAGTAGTCACTGGAGAGCCAGTAGACACTGGAGAGGGCCAGTGTCCCTGAGAGGGCCAGACACTGAGAGGCGCCAGTAGTCACTGGAGAGGGCCAGTAGTCACTGGGAGAGGCCAGTAGTCACTGAGAGGGCCAGTAGTCACTGGGAGAGGGCCAGTAGACACTGGAGAGGGCCAGTAGTCACTGAGGAGGGCCAGTAGTCACTAGAGAGGCCAGTAGCACTGAGAGGGCGCCAGTAGTCACTGGGAGAGAGCCAGAGACACTGAGAGGGCCAGTAGTCACTGGGAGGGCCAGTGGTGGGGGGGTAGTCACTTAGAAGACCACCAGTAGTCACTGGGGCCCACTCATCACTGGGCGGCCAGAGTTACTGAGAACACCACTCATCACTGGGGTCACGGGATTATTAAGAACCTCGTCATTGAGAGGACCACTCGTCACTGAGGAGGCCACTCTTTGAGCCTCCTGGCATTCTGCTGCAGGTGGTCGTGTATATATTACATCATGTTCAGGTTTATATCATTATAATGTAAGCTCAAAATATCATGTTTTCTAGTGTAAATATTTTATAATTTAACAGAACAGTGCAAAGCTTGGGCTGGGGACTGGGTATAACAGAGAGACAACACCAGTTATGAGGCTCATTTCTCTTTGTTCACTCATGTATATCTACCAACTCATGGGCCTGTATGAAGGTGTGGCGTGTCTCGTGCACACACACACACACACACACACACACACACCATCATACACACAGCTCCTACTACCACAGATTCTCGTCAAAATTGCTGTTCGACACCACAACCGTATCCAGCCCATACGAGCACACTGAGTCCTTTAGAACAGCTCAGTCCCAACCATTGTAAATTATCAACTCGTAATCAACCAGTGTATTCACTCCTGTAATCTTTACTTTATATGTCACTATGTTTGAAATGCCTGTAGTTTGAGCTTCTCCCCTAGTATTATATATCATATTTGTATCACTTATGTTACTTGTATATCATTTTGTCAATCAAAGACCCATTCCCCAATTATGTAAATGTATTTTTCAGCCTTCCAGCATATGCTCTCTCAATAAACCACTAATTATTATTATTATTATTATTAATTATTATTATTATTATTATTATTATTATTATTATTATTGTGTGTGTGTGCATGAGGCGTAGGAACACTCCCTGTAAACGGTGACACAGTTGACTGCCAAAATCAATATTGGTTGAAAAAAGCACTGTCAACACTGACCAAACACACTAACGCTACCTATCAATCCTTCCCCAGGATGGGTCGTGACGACACCTCATGTACGCCCTCGTCAAGGACTCTCAGGACCACACGCCCGACACCTGGACATTAAGTAAATACAAAAGAGACCTCAAACAATATTATTGATAGGAATTAAAGATACACAATTTATTTTAATATTCATCTTTTTTTTTTTTCTCTCTCTCTCTCTCTCTCTCTCTCTCTCCACAAAATAAACATAAATACTTGTTCTAATACTCAGACACCACAAACAAAAGGGATGACGTGTGGGGAGGAAGTGGTGTGTGGGTGGGAGGTGGCAGCTCTCCCTTGAACTCTCATTAAAAAGCTATCAGAGAATTTGTTGAGGCGCAGTTTATCAGCCATTTCTACTACCACGAGTCTCAACCTATTCAAGACCGTCTACTGAATCTTAATTGGAAAAAAATGAGAGAGAGAGAGAGAGAAGAAAAACGAGAGAGAATCTACTTCAGGTTCTTACTATACACTCAGTAACATCGACGTTTCCTCCGACAACACACTGTAACATGTGGGGTAGTATGGGTGTAGAATGGATCTCTCTCTCTCTATCTCTAACTATTCTCTTTAACTTTGCCGTATACAAAATGCAGATATGTATTCTCTCTCTCTCTCTCTCTCTCTCTCTCTCTCCAAATCTACATACATACCCTGTACATACATACATACATACATACATTCAAAACCGTCCCAACATTTCCACCACTAAACACACAACATAATACTGAAATACCAACCACACTTCCTCACCTCATACTCGCTCCTTGCCTCTTACCTCCCTCATACCGCCAACTACTTACACTCATTCAGTACATATATCATAAATAGATAAAAAAATACAATTCTTGATGATAGACCGATAACTATGAGGTAACGATGCGCTTCAATCAGCGAATGATATATCGACAAACAGGAGCTAAAATAACTCTGACTGGGGAGGGGAGAGGTGGGAGGCAGGGGGAGGTGGGAGGGTAGGAGGAGGAGGTGGGAGGAGGAGGAGGTGGGAGGCGGGAGGAAGGAGGTTGGGGTGGGGAGGAGGAGGGGTATGAGATGGGGAGGAGGGTGGGGGGCAGGGGAGGGAGGAGTGGATGCAGGGAAGGGCAGTGGGTTGGGGAGGCAGAGGGAGGGATGAGAGGATGGTTTGGTTATATTCAATTTAATTTATTCCGGTATAGAGAGTTGGTGACGTCACAGGGCTTCCTGTCAATTAGCTTGACGGAAAACTGATTAATGTGGGGAAAAAATTCTCTCTTGGGTCCAGTTGATGCCAGGGTGTGACGGGTGCCAGGTGTGACGGGTTGCCAGGTGTGACGGGTACCAGGTGTGATGTTCTGCGTGTGACAGGTGCCAAGTGTGACGGGTGCCAGGTGTGAAGGGTACCAGGTGTTACAGGTACCAGGTTTGACGGGTGCCAGGTGTGACAGGTGCCAGGTGTGACAGGTGCCAGGTGTGACGGATAACAGGTGTGACAGTGCCGGGTGATGTGGCCTGTAGGTGTAATAGGTGCGAGTGTGACGGTTGCCAGGTGTGACAGGTACAGGTGTGACGGGCACCAGGTGCTACAGGTACCAGGTGTGACGGGTGCCAGGTGTGACGGGGTAACAGGTGTAACTGCCAGTAGGTGTAACGGTGCCGTGATGTGGCTAGGTGTGATAGGTGCGAGGTGTGACGGTTGCCAGGTGTGACGGGTACCAGGTGTGAAGGTACCAGGATGACGGCAGCCAGGTGTAACAGTACCAGGAATGACGGCAGCCAGGTGTGACGGGTAACAGGTATAACAGGTGCAGGTGTGGCCAGCAGGTGTGACGGGTGCCAGGTGTGACGGGTAACAGGTGTAATGATGCCAGGAGTAACGGGTGCCAGGTGTGAGACAGGTGCCAGGTGTGACTGGTTAATGTGTGACGGTGCCAGGTATAACGGGTGCCAGGTGTGTGGGTGTGACGGGTGCCAGGTGTGACGGGTGCCAGGTGTGACGGTACCAGGTGTGACGGGTGCCAGGCATGACGGGTGCTAGGTGTGACGGGTACCAGTTGTGACAGGTACCAGGTATGACAGGTGCTACGTGTGACAGGTACCAGATATGACAGGTGCTGGGTGTGAGGTTGCCAGGTGTGACGGGTACCAGGTATGACGAGTGCTGGGTGTGACGGGTACCAGGTGTGACGGTGCATGTAGCATGGGTTACTAGGTGTGACGGCTGCCAGGTAGTGACGCCAAGGTCTGATCTAAGTCACATATCCTTGTTGTTATCCTAATGATGATGTACACACACACACACACACACACACACACACACACACACACACACACACCTCCTTCCATTACCCTAGGTCCGAACACACTCCAGGTTGTAGATTCCACGAAGCTCCTCGGCGTCACCATAGACAACAAGCTAAATTGGAAACCACACGTCAGTGAAGTTGTCAAATCCTCCAGTTTCCGTCTCCACCTGCTCTGCCGACTCAAGTCCCTCGGAGTTCCTGCACACGAGCTCCTCAGTGTATACACAACATTCATACTTCCCAAGCTCACCTATGCCTCCCCCACCTGGTCTTCCTCCCTAAATGCCACACAACGTAAACACCTAGAAAAAGTGCAAAAGAGGGCATGCAAGATTATTCTCTCCCCTTCCTACTCCACATATCAAGAAGCGCTCAACACACTGACCCTTTCGACTCTCACTGACCATCACCACGGCCTCATCTGCAAATTTGGTAAGAAGCTTCTACACCATCCCCGACACCGGCCCCTACTACCACCTGAGATCCCCTGTCCGAGAATTGCTGTTCGACACCACAACCGCATCCAGCCCATACGTGCACGAACTGATCGCTATAAGAACAGCCCAGTCCCAACCATTGTAAAATTATCAATAACATGTAATAAATCAGTGTATTCACTCCCAGTAAACACTGCTCCCTACACTGTCACTATGTTGAAATGAACTGTATTTTGAGCTGATCCCCATCTAAGTTACTATATGTCTTATTTGTGTCACTTATGTCACTTGTATATTATTTGTAATTCGTAACCCATTCCCCAAATATGTAACTGTATATTTTCAGCCTTCTGGCTGCCAAGCTCTTTCAATAAACCGTTAATTATTATTATTATTATTATTATTATTACACACCGCATTATACAGTGAGAGGAAAAACTGAGAGGAGGAAGCCGACGACCCCTCACTCACGAGGACACTCACACGCCGTCAAGGTCCTTCTCCACCTCCACCGGAGTCGTCATACGTAAACCACTTGATAATAACTCCCCAAAAATAATGAGATACCTAGAGTGAAAGAGAACATATATCTCTCTCTCTCTCTCTCTCTCTCTCTCTCTCTCTCTCTCTCTCTCTCTCTCTCTCTCTTCATGTGATGGACGGAAGACAGGAATCAACAAGACATGAAAAGCTAATATGATTCAGACACGAGGAGACATGATGGATGGACGGACGGACAGACGGACACGACCTTAACGACCACAGAACCTGAACGACGAAAGCAACGACTACCTGGAGAAATAAGACAACGACGTTTTAATGACCAAGTGTAAACAAAACGATTTTACAGGTAACGATCATGAATGAGAGCATTGGTTACGACGACAACATGAACACCTACGACTAGGAAATGGATTAAAAATTACCCACTTTTGGATTAAAATTACCTCATACGGATTAAAATTACCCTTCGTGTATTAAAATTACTCCTCGTCGATTAAAATTACCCCTCATGGATTAAAATTACCTTCTTCCCGGTCATAGGTCAGCCAATAGCAATACTTGTCCGAGTGCAATGGATAATTTTATATTTATTTTAATACCTAATTTCCTGATCAATATTTCTGAATCTATTACCCATTGTGTGATGACTGCAGCCGAGTATTACTGTATTATAAAGGTTGCGGACCCCTGCCTTAACATCACTTCCTTATGAATTTATAAAATCCTTACGGCTTAAAAATACCTCATTTACAAGGAAATTTTTTTAGCGGTCTATCTAGGCCACCCGCACCTCCCTACCAAATTTTAACTCTCTTCAAAACTGTGGAAATCTACATGACATACACACACACACACACACACACACACATTGTCTCCTATATATACAGTGAAGCCTCTATTTAACGTACTATAGGGAGAGAAAAGTTCGTTATATAGAGGGCTCCTCAGATGTAACACCTCCATTTAACGAACTACATAGATATTAAAGTCCGTTATATCGAGGGTCCGTTAGATGTGAAACCCCCATCTAACGGATTATATATAGAGAGAAGTCCGTTATATGAAGGTCTCACTGTATGTACGAGTAATGATTTCCCCTGGACTAGAACACACGTAAAATGTTCGAGCACTAAACTAATTAACAAAATATAAGGTCAATCATATTTTGAGCGTGAGGCGACTCCCTTCTTGATGGTCCGACTCTAGCGTCTCACCCGGTTTGTTTACCTTGTCCACACACACGCCCGCGGACCACCACCTAAAACGTCATTCTCTCACCCAAGGTACTATACCCAGGTTCATGTGGCCGAGTCATAACCTTCCTAGCTCTTTGTTGTAGGCGATTCTTGATGTTAGTTCTGCGTGTCTGAACCTCAACTACTACTACTACTACTACTACTACTACTACTACTACTACACACACACACACACACACACACACAAATGCCATGTTATCAGTGCAGGAAAACATCCTCCTCTCAACCCCTCTCTTCTCCCTCTCCTACCCCTCCAATATCCTCCTCCCATCAACCCCTCCCTCCCCCCTTTCCTCCAAAACCTTCCTCATATCTCCACGCTCTCACTGCCAACGACCCCTCCTTCGGCAACGACCTTCTCCCTCTCTCTCTCTCTCTCAACGCCCCTCTCCCTCACTCTCACCCTTCCTCCTGTGTTTCCTCACCCCCCTCCCTCTCTCTCAACGCCCCTCTCCCCCTTACTCTCACCCTTCCTCCCTGTGTTTCCCTCACCCCCCTCCCTCTCACCCAACGCCCCTCTCCCTTACTCTCACCCTCCCTCCCTGTGTTTCCCTCACCCTCCTCCCTCTCTCCCAAACCTCCCCTCGCCCCCGTACTCACATCCAGATGATGCTCTACGGCCTCTGACATGTTCTTCAGTATGCAGTATTCATGAGGTACCTTGAAGGGGAGCTCCACCACTCGACAGGCTCAACCATGTCAATATTGTTGTTGTTGTTGTTCCCCTTGTGTGTGTATTATTCTGGCTAAATAGACTGTTTATATCCCATTTTAAAATTTCCATCCTCCCTCTCTCCCTCCCTCTCTCTCTCCCTCCCTCTCTCTCTCTCTCCCAACATTCTCTTTTCTGTCTATCAAAGTCCGTTTAGCAGATTCATTACCTCTTCCTCCCTCACTACCTCACGTCTTCCTACTCCCTTCCACCCTAACTCCCTTACCTATGCCTTCCTTCCTCCCTCCCGAACTCATGCCCTTTTTTCCCTCCCTCTCTCCCTCCCTCCTTCACGCCCTACTTCTCCTTCCCTCCGTAACTCCCTTACGCAAGCCTCTCTCTCTGTCGACTCCCTCTCCCTCCCTATCTAACTCACGCCCTACTCCTCCCTCCCTCCCTAACTCACGCCTGTTTTTTTTTGTGTGTAGAGAAAGGAGGGTGAAAGAAGATTAGAGGTGGGGGAAGGAAGTTATAGTTCGGATATTGAAGAAATTTAGTAGGAGATAAGAGAGGGCGGGCTGACCGCCTAGCTAAGCTAATAGTGTGTTAGGGTTGTGTCATGGGTTAGTTATTGTCTGTCGACACAGGCACTAGACAGCCTACCCTGTCCCATATATGGGTGCTTTAAGGGAATTATTTCATATTCCGCCGACCCTACCGGCGGATGCTGGTCTAGGGAGGTTGTCTATTGCCTGGCTGTATAGATCGGGGTGGTAATGGACCTTTTGAGATTTGGTAACTTTTTGGGAACCATGTATGGTTGTTGTCGTTATCTGGTGGGAGTCTTTGAAGGAGATCTTGCTCTGATCGTTCTTTCTTTTGCCAGACTCTGCTGGCCAGGGTGTGCAGCTGCTGGTTGATGGGTTTTATTCTCGGGTCTCTATGTATCTCGGCTGTGGTTCTGGTAAAGGGGTATCTTTCACCTGTGACGAATTTTAGGGCCTCATTTTGGACCACCTGTAATTTTAATATTTTAGTGGTGCTCATAGTGTGAAAAGGTACTGCTGGGTAAGTTAATATCGGTATGATAAATGATGTCACCAGGTGGAGTTTTATTTTCTCAGGAAGCGCTTTTAGGCGGTACAGTTTTCTCAGCTCTCTTCTTGCCTTTTCCTTCCTGGTGTGGACATGATGAGAGTAACCTGTCGTGGATATATGTAGGCCCAGGAGGGTGCCTCTGCTTTTGTATTCTATCTGGGCATTATTGGTTACTAATGGATGGGTTTTCCTTCTGCATAAGGGTATCACTGTGAATTTCGGGAGACTGGTTTGGATTTTCCATTGTTTTTCGTAATTATTTACCCTTTCTAATTCACGTCCGGTGTTGTCGACCTGCAACGCTCGCGATTTTCCTTGATGTGTTGTTATTTGAGTGATGTCATCTGCATGCAAAATATCTTCGTTACCTATTCTAGTGAGAGGCGGGGTGTCACTTGTGTAGATAATATATAGGGTGGGAGAGAGGACGCTGCCCTTAGGGACTCCGCTCATGAGTGGGAAGGTCTCTCCTGTTTGTTGTCCAACCCTCAGTCTGGCATTTCTGCCGTCAAGAAAGTTGCAAAGCAGCTTTTCAATGTTGGTGGGAAGTCCGAGTTGGAGGATCCTATATTTTAGACCGTCATGCCAGACTTTGTCAAATGCCTTCACTACATCCCGGAGAGTTAGATTACATTGTCTACCACTCGCCGCGGCTCTGGCTATGTTTTCACATGCCAGGGCTATCGCTGTTGTGGTGGACTTCCTTTTCCTGAACCCGAATTGTCTGCAGTTGACTCTGTTGGTTGTTTCCAGGTGATTTCTCAGACGGTTATTGGTGATTTTTTCTAGGATTTTTCCAGGTACGTCGAGGAGGGAGATCGATCTGTAGCTTAGTGGGACGGCGGGGGTTCTTTCCTTGTTTTGGTGTTAGGGTAAAAGTGGACTCTTTGAATTTA